ATGAGTGGGGCAGACCATGTGCTCATAGAAGCTTAGTTTGAATAAACATAGCCCCAATTTCAAGCCCTGGACTGTTTTCTCCAAACAAAGGGTCAGTGATAACAGCATCAAGCCCAACTTCAGATCAGGGGGTTGGTGCGGAGGTCACAGAGGTCAGGCCAAAGCCTCATTTCTACCTGTTTTTTCACTAGTCAAGAAATGAAAATACACAGGTGACAAATGGAAGACATTCAAAATACCAGCAGGAAATAAGACATTGACTCAAATCCAAGAGGGGAACCTGCCCTAAACTGCAAACTGAAAGAGAGAAATACTTGGAAAGCAGCAGTGCTGTTCCACTCTGAAATGAGTGAGGCCAAGTAGGTGAGAAGAGGTTTCGAAAGACAACTCCGAGCCTGAAGAGGCTGGGCTATTTTTAGACAGTAAAGGAAGAGGTATTGGGTCCAGGGAGAGATGCATCCTCTCTCCAATGAGAATCACTTTGAAGGCTGAGGGCAGCTGCAGGCACCGGAAGGAGGAATGAAATGGAGATCAAAGAAACAAAACTAGGAGAACACTGACATTTTTCATTGTATACCACCTGTAGTGAGGATCTCAAGACACTTCACAAGCCTTATTTCAAGAGATCTGAGAGAGAAAATTCAACAAGAGCTAGACCAAGGTCATTCACAAAGGGTGGTGAGGGGCATAGCTGCTGGCCACAATGACATCCACTCTTAGTCATTTATTCTATGTGGAGAGCTCAGAGTGTGTTCTCTGGAGCCTGGCACAGAGGCGAGCACCGCTAGTCCCAGCTACTCAGAAAGTAAGGCAGGAGCTGGGCATGGTGGTTCATGGCTGTAATCCCAGCACTTTGAGAGGCTGCGGCAGGAGGATCCCTTGAGGCCTGGAGTTCGAGACCAGCCTGGGCAACAGAGTGAGACTCTGTCTCTACAAAAAACAAAAATAACTGGCTGGGCGTGGTGGCTCAAGCTCGAAGTACCACTACACAACTATACAGGAAAAAAACTTGGAGACAAAAATAGAGAAAGAAGAATTAGATTTACAATGAAAAAAACACAACTAGAAGAAAGTCATCTTACCCATTGTTTCCAGAAGGAATAATATAACCTAGATCAGATTAATGGCTCTTAAGGAGGAAGATCTCAATACCTCCTTCGGTTACTTTTAAAAAATCTAGCAACCCTCCAGCGCAGACAATCCTTTTGTAACCCTAACTTAAATCTTGCCTGCTGGGCTTCGGTCCATTTCTGTCCTTTGTCCTTGAAAACAAGCCCAACTCCCTCCACATAAAAATCTTTCAGAAACTTCTAAGAGGAGGAGGGTTAGCTACCAAGATCACTCACATTTGCTTCTTAAGGAAAACACACCCCAACTTAGAGATGAGAGGCAGGAATTGACATGTCTACAGGATCTGAACTTGCGGCTTTACTGATAACTTCAAGTCACGCTTCACCAAGACTAAGCTGATTTAATATAAAACTTTAAATCAGGCCGGGCGCGGTGGCTCAAGCCTGTAATCCCAGCACTTTGGGAGGCCGAGACGGGCGGATCACGAGGTCAGGAGATCGAGACCATCCTGGCTAATATGGTGAAACCCCGTCTCTACTAAAAAATACAAAAAACTAGCAGGGCGAGGTGGCGGGCGCCTGTAGTCCCAGCTACTCGGGAGGCTGAGGCAGGAGAATGGCGTAAACCTGGGAGGCGGAGCTTGCAGTGAGCTGAGATCCGGCCACTGCACTCCAGCCTGGGCGACAAAGCGAGACTCCGTCTCAAAAAAAAAAAAAAAAAAAACAAAAAACTTTAAATCAGTCTTTTCCAATGTACTCCACTGAAGAGACTTCCCTCCCTTCGAAAAAGCTTAATGAAAATCTCAGCACTGATCTACTCTCTTTGCTGTAACTTAAATCTCCACCTCCACTGGCTCTCTCACACCAGCATTTAGCCATATTTTTTAACTAGATTTCTCCTGAATTAAGAACCCTTTACTAGAGCACTGCTTTCTGCATACGTGGACTTCTTCTCTCTTACGTCCTTCACACCTAATTAGGTTGCATCTCTACTTCTTTGTCACCTTTTCATTAATCCTAGTTTTGATTTCTCTTCTAAAGAGGTCATAAATTCGTCCTGATTATTTTATTCACCTAGATGTCCAAGTTTATCCCGCACTATATTTGACATCTTTAAATTATTCTTTTTTTTTTTTTTTTTTAGTACTTACTGCCTATTTTACACTGTCTTAAACGGTGTGATGTAGAGGAAATAGAGAACATGACCCCGATCCTTAGGAAATGAAGACATACATGAAACAACAATAAGATATCGGTTTCAAGGTCGGGGGCTAGTCACAGAAAGCCCTGTGGCTCTGATAAATACAGAATTGGACCTAAAAATAAGTGTAGAATTTGGTGTAAAGGAGAAGGCTACTTTAGATAGAAACAATAGTATAATTCAAAGCAGGAGGCAATCTGAAGTAAGAGCTGCATAAAGGCTTTCTGACATTTCCTTCTTTGCCCCCCAAAAGGGGCATGTGCCTTTTTGTCTTCAAATTTTATTTGAGAATTAGCTATCCATGAATCACAGATTTCCTTTTATCATGATTACCCACAGCCACCACATATTAGAGCAACTCACAGAGCTTAATACGCCTGGTCCACAGAGCTTAATACACTAGAGTAATCTCAAGGCAGGCTTTTAGAATAATCTTAGGTAGAGACCTTTTACTAAGGAGTGTGGGGAGTCTGGCATCTTTAGGGTCCTGGGCACACAAAGACAGCTATGCCTCTTGGGTACTAAAGATATGCACCAGTCATTTTGCTGCCAGACCATTCAAGGGTCATTCAACTTCAGCTAAGTATTTCATACACAGCTTCAGGACAGACAAAGCCATCTAAAGCAGTCTGAAGCACTGAATTCCTATTTTAAACAGGGAATGTGTAAATGGTCTTGCCAGGGATGCCCCTTTTCCACTGTTTTCCTGGAGAGCTCTTTTCCACCTGCCTTAGGACTCACAGTTCAAGCATCCCTTCCTCTATGAAGCCTTTCCTTTTTTTTTTTTTTGAGATAGAGTTTTGCTCTGTTACCCAGGCTAGAGTGTACTGGCGGGATCTCAGCTCACTGCAACCTCGGCCTCCTGGGTTCGAGCAATTCTCCTGCCTCAGCCTCCCAAGTAGCTGGGATTACAGGCGTGCACCACCACACCTGGCTAATTTTTGTATTTTTAGTAGAGACCAGGTTTCACCATCTTCACCATGCTGGTCTCGAACTCCTGACCTAGTGATCCACCCGCCTTGGCCCCCCAAAGTGCCGAGATTACAGGGGTGAGCCACCATGACCAGCCTGTGAAGCCTTTCCTAATTCCTCTAAACTGAGTTAGGTTGCCTCCCCTGTGCTTCCATTAACAACGTACACATACTTTTAGAGCAGCACTTAACCACACTGTGTTTTAATTGTTTACATGTCTGACTAGCCATAAGCTCTTTGATGGCAAGGGTAATGTTTTACCCATAACTGATTGCACACTTAATAGGCACTCAATAAACACTTGTTAAATGCATTAATAATGGGTGATATTGGAAGTCTTAAAGAATGGCAACATACTTTCTGGATTCCAGACCAAAATTACAGTAAGAATTAACAATGAAGGCTAAACTCTTATTATACATTTCTACTACATACACCATTCCTGGCCAGAAAAAGAGGCCAAAGATTTGAGAAGATTGTTCTAACAGTGCTGATCACTGCCAAGTTACCAGCCAAGAATAAGAGCACTTGCAGTATTAAGAATGAACAGAGTCATATCTAAAACAATTTCTACATTTCAGGCTTATTTGCCTGCCTCAGGAGAATAGAAACAATGATGAATAAGAGACCTTGGAAGGGTCACAATGTCCACCGATCACAAAACCTTGTAGCAAACTGTGATTCAACACAACTTCTGCTGAAATATACAGGAAAGTTGTTCACCTTCTTACCAAACCTACTCCAGGTTCTGCTAATGAATACAGGGCTGAACTAAGTCCTCCCAGAACCCTGCCAGTTGTACAGTGGCATTCTAAATCATTCCTCATGGGAGTTACTCATCACTGAAGAGATACAGGCAAAGCAATACAATGCTGTGGTCTCAAATGCCTCTCCCAGTAACAACCTCGTACCTCACAAGGCTATTGTGTTTACAGGCTACTAATAAGACACAAAATCTGATCTGATCCTGTGGGAATAAAGCCTTGGTCTCAAGTGATTAAACAAATGTAGTCTACTTCTGGGTTCCCAAAGTTGTGGGGTTTATTTAGTTGAAGAAAGCATAAGGACCAAAACCCAGACAAGTGAAGGGATGGAAAGGAACTTTGCCTCTGAGGATCATCTGCAGCTGAGTGGCATGTGGCTCTTGGCATATAGTGAATGAGATAAGCAATGCTCAAGGGCCATCCAGAACTTTTTGCTGACAGATATCTGGCTTCTTGCATGTTATCATTCCTAAGAAGCCAAGATGCTCCAGTTAGCCTCTTGAAGGACCAAAAAAAATTTGTTTTGACCCTAGGCAAGAGCAATTACCAAGCCAGTAATTCTGACTAGGTGTTTTAGCATATTTCTTTCTGCCACTACAGTCTTACATAACCCCAGCTGTTACATTAACACCTGCAGCTACATTAGTCACACCTTAGCCCTTCACAAGGTATGTGTTCCTACTGTCCTCTCCCAAGAAGGGAAACTGAGTCATAGCATATCAACTGGCTTCCCAAGCACATGCTTAGTGTATAGTGAGGCCTCAATTGAACCCAGGTGGCCTTCCTACTATTCACCTCTTCTCATGGATGAATCTCAGCATGCCCACCCCTGCTGCTTTTTCCTTCAACCTAAATTGCCTGCACAGATCACATGTGATCCTTTAGAGTAAACAAGAGCTTCTAGTTACCTTTCCCAAGAAACAGGAAGGTTAACGAGGAACATTGAGCAGGAGAGGGTGGGTTTGGCAAGAGGTGGCTCCCAACAGGACTCACCTTGGAGCTGAGGTCCTCTCGTCGGTTTCCTGCTTTATTCCTGCGCAGTTTGATGGATGGAGATCTCAACAGATTCTTGATCCGGCTGGTAATGGTTGACCCTTCCACAGCCATTATGATGAGAAACCCCTTGGGACAGTCCCCGGCACAGTCCTGGGTCTTGTCTCAACAGCGGCACTGTCTTCCCACTCCACAGGGCTTCCCAATATGCCCTCTCACTGACCTGAGATGGCAGAAACCAAGTATAACAGTGTCTTACCTTCTGCCTAGCGAAGTCTGCAGTTTTTACCTCTGGGTATTGCTCTCACCATTTTCCTCACCCCCACCTTCTAGCCCTGCACAGTTTCTTGCAACGTCGGAAGGAAAGGCTCACGAAAAAGGGGGGAAATCCCAAGCCACTAAGAAATGCCAGGCCCACGCCCGCCAGAGGCGTTTAACTGGCGAGATGGATGGGATGGGCCCTAGTTGGTCTCGTGGACGATCTGGTTCCCGTTAATGCCCAACTGTTCCCATGGCAACTGTAGAGTCCAACGGAGGAGGCCGCCGAGACCACCAGGGATTTCCGCAGGCCTGGACACCTGCGCTAGCGCCGGCGGGGACTCGGCGCGGCGGGGCTCGCCGCAGCCCACAACTCGTTCTGCCACGGGAGCCTCCCTCCCCCACTCCCTATCCTCCAGAGCTCGCTCTCCGCCCTCCACAGCGGCTTTGGACCTTTATCTTTCACCGGCCTCTGAGGCCCCTGCTACTCGCCAGCGCCCCCGTTCGGGCCAGCCTCACCAGCCTCGGCGAGCGAGGGCCACCCCACTCACAGCGCCCTCGGGCATCGCGTTCGGTAATTTCAGCTCCGCCGCTGTAGCGGCAGTGGTAGAGGCAGCAGCAGGAGCTATGGTGGCACGATCGGCTCAAAACGCGAACTACCGCCCGGGCCAAGCTGCGCGCCAGGTGGGCGGAGCCGATGCGAGGGGCGCGGCCCGTAGTCAGGAGAGCGCTTCCAGAGTGGACGAGCAAGAATTACGGGGGCGTAGCCAATGAAAGGGCCCAGGAAGCAGACGGCTTGGGACTAGAGAACCACGGAATCCGCACAATTGCGGGTACCGCTTTTAGAGGAAGGTCAACAGAACATGACTTCAGAATTGAGAGAACCAAGCCTTTTATGGTATTATCAGGCCTGGTCCCCCATGTAACTGCACTTCCCAGAGCCCCAAGACGATAACCACGCCTCCAGTGTTCAGGTTGCCATTTGATAGGCCCGAGGGACCGTAGCTGAAACTCGTAGCTCAGAATTACAAGACTGAGCTACAGCCTACGAGCTCTGCTCCCAGCGACCACAAGTGTTGAGATTTAAAGCGCCTGAAGTAGTTTCTGCTCGCAGCCAGTCCGGCACGTAGACTCAAAGTGGAAAGGATTATTCTGAATAACGCAATTTAATAGCTAAGAATTTAATAGTGTTTTTGCACTGGGTAACCTGATTGGTCATTATGAAAGGGGAAAGGGTGGCCTTGAACAGAGCTTTGGGCGTGCGGGGGCAAGAGAAGACAAGTGAATGTGCTATGTTAATAATACTGCAGGTTTCATCGTTTCTTTAGCCTCCGACGTCCCATTGTGCTTCCTCAGCTAAAGCTGACCAGCACTTCGTTGCTCCAGATCTTTCCTCGTTCCATTTACTTGTGAATCCTTTTCTCTAGGGCTGTTCCTTGCTGAGGTCACTGTCGAGCTTGCTGATACTATATCGAGGGGTAGTTTTTCTAACTCATGTCGGGGGAGGCAGAGGGAATACACAGAAATGTTACATGAAATATGTATTTCCTCTGTATTCTCCACTTACTACCATAAGAAATTATGAAAAAGCCTAACCCAGAGACTTGGGCCCCAAGGGAATAGTACACTGGTGTGTCCGTCTCACCCTATCCAGATCTTTTGAATCCCTGTGGAGATGACATGTGTCTGCAAGAGGGAAGAACCTCTAAGAAATTATTATACCTTATGAAAAAGCCTAAGCCAAAGACAAGGGACCCAAGGGAATACTACACTGGTGTATCTGTCTCACCCTACCCAGATCTTTTGCAGCCCTGTGGAGAAGACATGTGATAGCAAGAGGGAAGAACCCCTAAACTCATTGCTTGTGTACAATGGTGAGCCTTGTACAGCCAAGTGGCAAAGCACATATGTGCTTGTGTATACTGTAGCCACATACTAAAAATGAGATTTGTAAAGCTCACAAGTTGACATGGAGATGATGGATGTCATCTCCTGGAAGACCAACCGGCAATAGCATGTGGCCTTCTTCCCTTCAACCATGCAACTGCAAATATTATGAAACATAAAATACGATTTTCACATTTATTTCCCAAGTCTGGAGGAAGAAGGCAAGAACCATTAGCTACAATATGCAAAAGATAGTTGGTTCCCTCAACCTCTTGTTACATGATGCAACCTCTCCATGGGAGTAAAAGCTAATAAATGGTGCCACCTGGTGTCTTTACTTGCATGCTGCAGACCACAGCAGCTGCCATCTCCACCCATTAAACTAGAGTAAAAATGTGCCCAAAGAGCCATCCCTAATCCTCTTCAGATCATTCTGGTGTCCACTAACGGTTTTCTCACCTAATCACTCATGGCCAGGTAAATGGTTTACAAAGTATCATTGGTCATTTCTTTCATGAAAAACAACTGAAAGCAGTGTAATGAGGATTTCTTAAGTCTGAAACCTGGGTACTTTCTTAGGCCAAAGCCACACTTTTTTTTTTTTTTTTTTAAACAGAGCCTCACTCTGTCGCCAGGCTGGAGTGCAGTGGTGATCTCAGCTCACTGCAATCACCGACTCCCGGGTTCAAGCCATTCTCCTGCCTCAGCCTCCCAAGTAGCTGGGATTACAGGCACGCACCACCATGCCCAGTTAATTTTTGTATTTTTAGTAAAGACAGGGTTTCACCATGTCGGCCAGGAGGTCTCGATCTCCGGCTCATGATCCGCCCGCCTTGGCCTCCCAAAGTGCTGGGATTATAGGTGTGAGCCACCACGCCCAGCCCACACATTTTTAATTCTTCACAATTCAGTCCAACTTTTATTGTCTAGGTACTATGCTGCCTTTGAGATACCAATATAGAAATAGGCTATAGGCTATTCCCATTCTTCATGAATTCCTCAGAAAATAACAGTCCCAGGTCTAATGTGAACAGAAGCATTATTCACTTTTCTCCACTCAGATTTACAGCCATTGTATACATTTCAATGACCACATGATCCCATTAAATTATAATACCATATTTTTACTGTACCTTTCCTATGTGTAGACACACACTTACCATATGTTAAAACTGCCTATGATATTCAGTGCAGTTAACATGCTGTACAGATTTGTAGCCTAGGAGCAACATAGCCTAAGTGTGTGGTTAAGCGACACTATCTAGGTTTGTGTAAGTACAGTCTACTCTATGATGTTTGCACAACAAAACCACTCAAGCTGCATTTCTCAGAACATATCCCCATCATTAAGTGACGCAAGACTCTACTTGCAATCCCAATCCTCCAAAATGCAGTTAACTCTTCGTATTTCATCATCCATAAACTATTTAACACTTTATTCTGCTTTTATATGTCCTAAACATCTATACAGAGTGTTTGCCAGCTTCTGAAATTCTAGATGTCTGGGAATAGATGTTATATAGTTCTGTTTAGCACTATACTCATTAGATCAAATTTTAAAATTCACCCTAGGCATAACATGCAAATAAGGTACAATTATAAGATCCTGGGAAACAGGCTAAACATTTGCTCATCAATTCAAATATTTATTGAGCACCTTTACATGCAAGGCACTGTGCAACAGCTGAGACCAATGATTGCAGTTGGAAACAGAATGGATCTCAAAAACCATACTTCCAAGACTGCTTTCCTATTATCTTTTCTACCAGCAGTTTACAATAGAAATTAGTAGAGTTCAGATTTGTCTCAAAATTTCCAACTCATCCCATAGTCTTCCCATCCTCTTAATGCACTACCATCACTATTCTACTCAACACTTATGTGTAAGAGCAGCTCAGTCATGTAATATTAGCTATGCCTCAAATAAAAAGTTGTACTTACCAAATTATTTTCCTCTATTCCAAAAAAATGCATTTTAACTGATTTTTTTCCTCCAACTGGCAGTGAGTCTGAGTATCTTAGCCTTAATTTTATCTGCACCTAGATATTTGTGTCCAGGTAAAATTTCATTAGTAGGCCGGGCACGGAGGCTTACGCCTGTAATCCCAGCACTTTGGGAGGCCGAGACAGGTGGATCACAAGATCAGGAGATTGAGACCATCCTGGCTAACGCGGTTAAACCCCGTCTCTACTAAAAATACAAAAAAGTTAACCAGGCCTGGTGGCGGGCACCTGTAGTCCCAGCTACTCGGGAGGCTGAGGCAGGAGAATGGCGTCAACCCAGGAGGCGGAGCTTGCAGTCAGCCGAGATCGCACCACTGCACTCTAGCCTGGGCGACTCCGTCTCAAAAAAAAAAAAGGGAAAAGAAAAAGAAAAAAAAAGGGAAAAGAAAAAGATAAAAAAATTATCTAAACCACTAAACCCAAAATAACACGCATTGTCTTTCTTGTGTGTTCAAAACATTTTCAAACTTGTTATGGAAGAGCCTAGCATCAGGGATTTCATAATTCCAGGAAAAAACTATTCCATTTACTATAAAATTACACAAAGTGAACAATTTGTATGAAGCTTATATAACTGGACTTGATCTGTTAGTGACCTTAATAGATTAAGAGTAGTTGGATGTCTAAAGGATTCCTTTAAACATTTTTGTTAACTGTCAAACCCTTTAACACATCCTCCCTTAAGAATACCTACTGTCCTTTACCACTAAGACTGTGTTTGTGTACCTTTACTCCCCAAGGTTAACAGGTAAACTGCCTTGCTCATACTGATACTAGAATGATTTTAGAATGACTTCTAAAACAAATACTTGCCATCAGGTTGCACACAATTTTGAAGCCTCCATGTAAAACATGCTACAAGGATTAGAACACCAAAAACCTCCCCCAAATGGCATATCAGAAACTTTGAGAAAAGGAAAGGATTCCTATGATAAAACCACTTCAGTGGCAGCTCTCTCGAATATGTCTTAGGGAATTAGATTTCTCTACTCCAAGTTGGCACAAACCTCCCAACACCAAGTTCTGCTTTAATTATTTTAACTGATTTATTTCAGATTTATATATCCTACCTTTCAATCACCAAACTTCTGTTCTTAGAATTCTAAAAAAATAGTCACTTTTCCAAAGCAGAAAAGGAAAGATATATATATTTAATATATAAAAGAAAATGCTAAATCTGACATAATTATATTCTTAAAAACATTCCATTTATTTACAGATGTATAAAAAGGCGAATTATTGGTCTACTGAGATCATGCTTCTTATAGTGTTAGGGTGAGAGCTCACTGTCTTCCACGTTCCTCAACTCCTCTCACTCAACTTCACCTTTCATAATCACACATGTAATATTCATAGATCAGTTCCCCCTAGGGTAAGGTTAAAGGGTAGGAGTTTTTGGAGATTTTAGATTTCTGTCAAGACTGCAGGATTGTTCTGAAGACTAAGCCCTCCTCAAATTATCCCTGACAACACCTAGCTCTAAGAGGTCTTGAGAACACAGTATCTTGGGGGTTAGAATGATATCTGCAGCCTTCCCCCTAAAACGCCTGGAATCATCCCTCATTTCTATCTTCATACAACTCTCATCAAGAGTCAAGTATCTCCAATCAAGAATCATTACCTATTTACCTATTTTCTTCTTTAAAAAAAAAAACAAAAAGGAAGTGTTAAGCTAAAATGGTCCTTCTTTTCCTGAGGATTGTTCACTCACTTGCCTGCTCCTTGGCTGACCCTCAAAAGCCACAAAAAGAGCCTTGGGAAATCAGGAGGAAATGTAGGGAAAAGACAAGCAAGAAAATAATGGGAAACTGTTATACCTGAATTAAAGTACTAGCATCTCTAAGGACAATTATTAGCAGGGGAGACAGGTGCTGGATTCCTTGGCTAAGGCATTGAATGAAATCTGCTGGGTAAAGAGTGGAAGGATAACGAGAAGCTGAGGAGCACTCTTTACCTACTTCAAGCTTCTTTAGTAACCTTTAGAGGAGGGAAGGTTAAGTGCTGATGAGCAGATCTAGAAAGGCAAGCAGCACAAAACCAACAAGAATTTGCTCCCACTGCAATTTGCAGAGGAAGTTCTTCCACCGTTTTCAATCCGTTGATTACCAGAGTTAACAGGGAACCAACCATGGAAATAATAATTCACTGGCTAGATCCAATCCAAAGTTGGTCTCACAACCTAGGTCTGAAGATACGCTGAGTGGGATTTGGGATAAACAAGACAGGAGATATAGAAGAAACAGCATCACCTAGGCACGGCCCAGGCACTGGAAGCTCTTGTGTTAGTGTTGTAACAACACAAGCAAATCCTGTCAATGAAGACAGAACAGGGGTTACATTCCAAAATATAATTATTTAAGAAAGGCAAAATGCAGCAGCTAAATCCCAGTCTATACAGTTTCAGAATAGTGATTCTTGCCCCCAGGAGTTTCCAAGAGACCCCTCAAGTGCACCATGATTATTTACAAACTAGATAGGAAACATCATTTCTATACTCAATACAAATCTCATCTTCTAGGTTGAAAACTTCAGCCTTTGAGAAATCTATGAAAACAACTATACAAAAATATAAATATCTTTACAGACTGTCAGTCCTTCATATCCTGACAGCTAATGAGTGAAAAAGCTCTACACATCATTGAATCCATGGTTGCAGATAAAAAATATATCTTGTGATTCAAATACTGCCTTATTTCCCTGGTAAAGAGTGCCTACTGTGACTTTTCTTTACATCCTGTGCAGGTAATAGTGAATGAAACCTTCAAGCACCAGGAGGCTGGTTTGATTTGGGAAATTTCCAGCCCCATGATTTTTTATTTTGGCCACTGTCTCTGGTCTGGGGGGATAATGCATTTTATTTTAGCCGTCTCTTGAGTGACGTAATTTGTGGAAGGGGTAGGGCTCCCTCTATGCCTACCTCCAAAATATATATTCCCAGTAAAAATCCCTGGTACTGCAAAATGAGCTTTTCAATGCCCACAAAAATAATAAGGGAGAACTACTATTTTTTTAAGATCTCAAAATATTTAACTTAATAGTAAAAGTTAAAAGCATCCCTACTTTACCGAAGGCTTGAATTTGTTAATTCTGATTGAAAAGGTGAGGGAATGGGAGCTACTTGGGATATGAAAAAAGAAAATTTTGCTGAATGACACAAAGTCCTTCACTTTGGTATTCCATGGTACACATCCTCTCTCTCCCTATTCTTGAAACATCAACTAAGAAGTATCTCTTCTGGATCCCTTTGCACAAGTCCATCACATTCTTTAGATTTCAGACTTAATTCAACAGCTACAAGTTACAGTTCAGTCCACAGCAACTCCAAAGTTGCAAACAGCTCTTTCGCTTGTGGGGGAAGAACTAGAAACCACTGTGGAGCCAGAGTCCTGTTATAAATTCCTTGGGTAAGAGGGGCACCTCGTGTTCAGTAATGGATCACATCTTCTTAGAGAGGATGAGGGGACCCAGCACCACAAGTGAGGTAACACATTTTAACATGATCAGAATTTCAGAGTACTTCTTAATACCAGGGTCAGCACCCTACCCCCTTTCTCCCATCATTATCCACGCATCATCCAAGTCAAGGATCCAAGTTCCAAGACACAAACAAACAGATGCCTGCAGAGAAAGGAGGTGAGATCAGTTCCCCCT